ATTCCATTCTATAAAGAGGTATTGGGACCCATTCCATTCCTTTCCATTCCATTCCATTCCATTCCATTCCATTCCATCCTATTCTATTCTATACTATTGTATTCTATTTTATTCTATTCTATTCTAAATAAGAAAGTTTTGGGGTCAACTTTGTGACCATCATAAATGTTTCTGTCACTTCTACCTGACTTATTAGAGTGTTTTTGCAGCCTTGAAGAGTAATTAAAAATTGAAAGAAAAACAAGAATAATTGATTAGCTTGGCAGCGGGGAGATTGATTATGTGCTGTGTTGTTAGGAGAAAGTTTTACCCAGGTGTTGTGAAATGAAGTGAATTTTAATTGGTTTATCGAAATAAATGAAACAAAGTGACACAAAAAACTGTAGGGAACTTCTGAAAGAGGCAAGAAAGCAAATAAGTACAAGATAAACTCTTCACAAAGATGTTCAGATCATTCATAGAGGTTACTTTTGGATTTATCTCTACTGGTGACATGTAATCGTAATGTTAAGAGTGAAATGATTTCTTCGTCTTGTAATGTTATACAGAAAGGTGCTGATGAGGTGAAAACACGAAACTTATTTTATATCATAATTCTTCTATATATTATATTGTGGTGTAGTGTTTCTATGAATGATTTCTGTTCGAGTTCAATAACGAATGTTTGGAGTAATTGAATAGAATTGGCCGATACTTGATGAAAATCCATATTGAAACTCATTGATACAGTTTATTGTATGATTTACACTATAAAGTGTTTTACAAAAACCGCGACACTTGTTTTGCTATATCAAAGGTATTGTAAAGCGAAAATTCCTGCGATTTTAGAACCCATAGGCACAAGTCGAGACGACGGAAAACGGCCGGATGGTATGACACTTGTTCCATGGAAAAACGGTAAATCTGTTGTTTGGGACTTTACTTGTGTGGATACATCAGCAACTTACCATCCTCCTGCTACTTCTGCGAAAGGAGATGTTGCTGCAGAATTTAGGAAAGGATTGTATCCTTCGCCCAATAGCTGTTCAAACTTTTGGTGTTTTTGGCTCTGAAGCCTTATCTTTCATCAATGAAATTGAAAAAAAATGTAACCAATGAAACCAACGAATCAAGAGCCACATCTGTTCTCATTAAAAAAATTAGTATAGCCATCCAAAGAGGATATGCGTGGCTTATTTTTTCGGTACTTCTCCTGATTCTAAAAAATTTGATGAAATTTAAATGTTTCCTGAAAACCAACTTTATAAACAAACCACGTTATGCAATGAAAACAAAAGCAAATAGAAAAAATACTTTCTCTCAGCAAAATTCTGAAATGGGTTTCAAAGATATTTTGAAATGTACAGTCAAAATCCGTGGGTTAAATGGGTTGAAAATATTGGTAACACCTGTTTCATGAACAGCGTAATCTAATATTTATCAAACACGAGATGGTTATTGGAATATTTGAAAAAGGATGAATTCATGAAAGATATCAATACTAGTATTTCTAGTATGGGGGTGCTTTAATCAAAGCGTTTGTAGAAGTCATCTAGGAGTTAGTTGTGGTCAGAAGATTCATTTGATAGAGTTGTAAATACAGCTTCCTCAAAAAATCAGATTCAAAGTTTTGCGTCTCGATTCATGGGTAATTCCTATCAAGACCCCCAGGAGTTTTTTCGTTATCTTTAAGAAGGTTTTCATGAAGATGTTAATATAATTAATGAGAAACCTAAATCAATTTTAACGGAGATTGACGAATGGCTCACATATTTGAGGATGCATAGCTCTAAGATTGTAGATAATTTCATTGGTCAATTGAAATCCACGATGAAATGCATACACTGTGGACACTCATTACTAACCTTTGATCTTTTCTGGGATTTGTCTCTCTCTATACCACAAAGAACTGACTAATTGAGTTTATGGCAATGCTTGGACTCGTTTACAAGAGAAGAAACTTTGGATGGAAATGACAAACCAACGTGTTCGAAATAAAAAAAAAGGAGAAAGCCTCTTTCAATCCACAAGTTTCCCCATATTTTAGTAATTCGTTTAAAAAGATTCTCTGTCATCGAATTTCCTCTAGAAGGATTGGATGTGGACAATTTTGCAGCAGAAAATGTGGTTACGTGTTGTTATAATCTATATGCACTTTCGAATCACAGTGGGACTACTTATAGAGGACATTATACAGCATACTGCAGACACCCGTATACAGGCGCGTGACACAAATACAACGATTCACACGTGTCACCAATTTCACCAAAATCACTTTTGAGTGGAGAGGCATACGTCCTCTTTTATGAAAAGGATGGAACAAAATCGCATTTTTGAGATAACTGAGGGAAAGTTTATTTGTGCAATTATTATTTATTTGTTGTTAAGTTCTCCACGGGCAACAACTAGTATATAATATATTTAATATATTTTTAAAGAGCTTCCAAGGAAGTTTTCGATACAGTATCACAGAAAGCTCTTGGTGAAACACAGATGTTTTGAAAATATGTTCAATGTTATTGTGATGTTTAAATGAAACTACGTTTCGGTAAAATTTTTCGTAAATCATTTACAATTAGGTATGATTTGCCACTTATTGTGGCTAAGTTGGCTTATTAATACCTGTGAACAAGACTGAAAAAGCTATTGAATAGTAACAAATGTTGTGATTTTGAAAACTGTTCAATGAAAAGTGTTATTCAAATACTCGTTCTGGCCTCACGCTGCTTCTTTTCCAAGGTTACCTTTTCTTCGAGAAATTCTGTATGAGCTATAGAATTCAAAGGATCATCCATCATATACTGAAAACATTAACTGAAATTGAAGTGTAGTTAACATCCAGAGCCATCGCTGAACGTTAATAACAGTATGTAAAAATAAAATAACTAGTGAAAATTAGACAAAAATTTTTTCATTCATTTCATTAGAGTAATGACTAATGATTTTACCTGAGCTCAGTGTAAAACTGATTGAAAATTCAAACATCGTGGGAGGAAATTCTACTAACTCATTAAATTAACATGTAATAATTTACTGTCAATTTCTACGTTACAAAACAGATTCAGAAGAGAAAAAGAATTCAATTCTATCACATGTAATAAGCTAACTACCACATCAGAAAATTGATTCAGAATTCTTAAATATATTGCTTCCTAAGCACTCTAAGAGATTGATTTTCAAACCTTGTTCTTCCATTTGGAAGGTTTGAAACTCAATTTGGAGAGCTTAGAAATTGATAGATTTGGGAATTCTGAATATTCATCGAATCATCGGATAGAATTGAATTATTATCTTCTTCTGAATCTGTTTTCTGATGTGTTGGTTAATTACATATTCATTCGATGAGTAGGTAAAATTTCTTTTATGATGTTTGAATTTTCAATTAGTTCTCACCCAAACCCAGGTAACATTATTTTTATCACCAAGACGGTAGAAGGTCATATGATCCAAAATTTTATTGAATGAAGCACAAATGGTACATGTTCATTTGATGCGTTGGTATTTTTTATGACATATCCAAGAAACACTTCATTCATGTTTTTTTATAATGTTCAAAAATTTTTATTTGGTTTTCAACTCAACTCAGGTAAAATTATCAGTCATTACCTTGGTACAAGGTCACAAGATTCAAATTATTATTATATATAGCACAGATTACGAAGAATTTAGTCAGTACGAAAACGCTTGAGGAAGCTAATATATAGCGAAACACGTGAAAATCTCATATTGAAGTGTTTTTTGTATACGTTAGTTATGGATTTTCATCAAGGATCGGCCAATTCCATCACATAGTTTTTAGTATATTATTTCTATACAATAAACATGCAAAACAAGACTGTAAAAGGGAAACATGCACCTGATTCTGATAGTTACCTCACAAAAGCATATCCTTTTTCTTTGAATACCCTAATTTCTTGAATTGTTCCGAAAGGAGCAAATGTTTTCTGCATGAGTTCCTCTGTCAGACCATTTGTTATGCCTCCACAATAGACTGTGCAATTTGTCGGACTACTTTGGTTATAAACTTCGTCGAATGTCAGTGGTTTCGAATTAACTGTAACAAAAACATCGTATTAGGACCAAGTACAGTCAACAGTCCTATTTCTGAATGATCCCTTATCTTTCCCGAATATAGTAGAGAATGAATATTTGAAAACGACAATTGGAGGGGTAGAGTTAACGATACTTGATTGATTTAGTATAAAGATTGAACTCAATAAATAAAAGAGTTACATAATGTATCTATATATTTATTTCTTTACGGGTAAGCCCCAGTTGAAAATCCATAAAAATACTCAACTGTTGAGGAAGTAAATTCAATATGGTAGATGAAGGAAGTCAAACCTCACTTCATTTGTCTTATTTATAATTACTAGCCGTTGCCCGCAACTTCGTTTGCATGGACTTTTCCCAGATTTTATACCATCAAAAAGTTCTTATGCATTTGTCTATCTCTGTTTCATAAAGCCAAATGTTCAGCTCAATCAATAAATGTAATTTATGATCCGATTGAAGTAGATCAAACTTGTTTTAGTTGAGCTCATCACAATATATTACGAGTGAAAGCCAGACCTAAATTGGCTGATCCGATTTTGATATTAGCGCGCATGAATGTATAAACATACATTTCTAGAAATCATTGTTTTGGGTTCTATTGCGATGATAAAGACACTCAATAATAGTTTTCCTCAAATAACTGGAAATGAATATTTTGAAATGAATTTCGAAATATTAATCCCTCCCAACTAGCTACACAGTAGGGTGTGGTAAACGTCTGTCGAAAAACAACTATTCCCCCGGCTAAAACTACGCTGGATATTGAATTATATCCGACAGACATTTATGCAAGATTCCTCACAGAGGCTAGTCTCGTAGATGTTTCTTGTTCATTCAACATCAGCAGGACCAGAAATTATTCAAGTTGATCACCTGCAGCACATTGAAATAATTATTTAAATAAAAAAAAATCGATTTGAATGAATTAAGTGAAATTAACTACCATTCAATTTGTATGAATAATCATAAAAGAAGAGAAAACCACAATTTTTTCTCCACCAGTGTACATATTACAAATTCATAAGCAGTCGAATGAATTTGTTGTACATAAAATTCATTATGATAATTCATCTTATGATTTTCTTAATATTGATGTACTTTACATAATTCATTTTTCACTCATTTACTTTATATCATTCAAATATTTAACTTTCATTCAGCTGTCAAATTTTCGAAGTTTATTGTAATCATTTGAAAATGTTCGTATAGGACGAAACTGCAGTGACGTTAGCTACAAATACACGTAGTAAAAAACATAGAAAGTTTTATTTCTCATTTTTCATGATCTTTTCGTTACATTTTTCCACAGTTTTATCAGCAATTTTCATCTATTGTTGATATCACATTTCAAATTATTATATAGATGGAAATCTAGATTCTGTGTACAATTTGAATTCATTTACCATTTTGGAAATAGACAATGACAATGAGTCATCCTCTTATCAAAATAAAACCCTCCTCAACAACACACATTTTTTTTACCAAATGAGGCCCTTTGGGCAAACCACATTAAAACGTGACATATACTTTACTTTTGTGTTGAGGTTAAAAAAGTATATGATTACGAGATATATTATGAAATATTATGGATTAGCTTCTGCCCCCGACTTCATCTATATAGACCAGGGCCATAGCAGAGCCTTTCTACGCCCTTGGCAACTTTGAGAAATCTGAGTTCCCCATTACCGAGAGTCTGAATAATTTTTTAGAAGCTCTGTTATATTTTTCATTGTTTTGTTTTGAAAACACTGTGAATATTACACGCTAGGACTGCCATTGTCTGTAAAGGTATTAACAGGTTAGTAATTTATGTATGCAAAATTAGATGAAAATTAATGAAATATTCAAAGTATTTTACATGCTAAAGGTAACAGGACCGAAATATCCGAATAGGCTACTTCAAAAAAGTTATATAATATCATGGAATGTCAATTATATGTTAATAATAGGAATGAAAGAGAAATGAAATAATGAAGAGAAATAAAATGATTGCAAACCTACCTACTCTATCAAGTTTACATTATTGATTTTCACAATCGCCTTTGAATGATAACTGTTATTACCCGATAACGAACTGTTATCACCTGAAGACGATTAAAAATACTAACAATCAAAATGTTCTGAAGTAACCTAATTTGCGATATTTCTTTTAATTTTTGGTATTTTTTTCGTCATTTCCCTTCATTATTTCTTTTTCATTTTGATTTTTTTTGTATTGTTTATTTCGGGATATCTTGTACGCTCTTGAATCTCATGTGGATTGGTATCGTCCCAAATTCGACAATTTTGTTTGTTCACCTATCCATTCATCCAGAAATGGACCTCATCGCTAGAGATGATTTTCAGATGAAAATTAGGGTCAGTTGCCATCTACTCTAGAGCCCATTCAGCGAACATACGTCATTGTTTACCTTCAGGTCCTGAACTTTGTACGGGTGCAGGCCCAGGTCACGAGGCAAAATTCGCCAAGTTGTCGTCTGCGAAGGGCTGAATTCTTGTAAGCGATGCGAAATCGACTTTCTCAGATTCTCTTGCACACTCTTACAGACAACGGCGATGTTTTCAGCAGATCTTGCGTTTCGTCAACGTACGGGTGTTGGTCGATCGTTCACCGAACCAGCGGACTCAAATTATCCACCACATTGCGGTCCTCTCAATATCACGATTATGGCGACCGTAAAATGGGAGACCCGTTACACACCAAATTTTGAGATATCAAAACCTACGTGAATATAAATATTCAGATTTATCTTTCCTATATTCAGATTAAAGACAGTTGAATAGATTAATTTTAGTAGAACAAGAAACCCTGCGAAAACTGAACTGGGTATCTGTCACATGGTGATACGGTAGCCGGTTGAGTGTGCCTGAGTCGTTTGTCCCACTCATTCTATCGACTGCTGTGTGAACCGGTGGTACAAGCCGCGAGGCCGGATGATCAATTTACACTTTTCATCGTCTAACCCGTGCTAGGAATCGCACATTGAGAGGTATAACCTCGTTAATTCTCAGCGGGTTGGCTGTCTTTGTTGATCATTCCCTGCCTGAACCACTGTGCATGCTGTTTTTGACGAGTGCATTGGCTTGGGATGTGGGGGTTAAGCAAACCGGCCATCGGATGCCTGCTTACACGTAGCCCCGCTGGATACAGGAATGACAGAATCATTATGGTCCAACGATGGCTTAATCCGAAGGTGTGTGTATCCGTGCCGAGAGGATGAATGACACTGAGCCTATCAGCTGTCTCTACGGAACCTTCGAGATACCGGGCGTCCTCTCGTCGTAGCCTTGTCACGGTAATGCGGGGCTCTGCCGTGATTGATCTTCTTTCCCCAGCTACTCGGGGGGCTATTATGAACAGAGTAAACTTAAAAATTCTTTCTGACGCTGAGTCTACAGAGGAGATGGATGGATGTCGAGCTTACGACTCCAACTGACCTCCCTGTAAATTTAGATCAGGAGCGAGTCTACAGAGGAAATGGTTGTCGAGCTTACGACTCCAACTGACCTCCCTGTAAATTTATTTTAGGAGCGAGTCTACAGAAGAGATGAATGTCGTCCAACTGACCTCCCTGTAAATTTAGATCAGGAGCGAGTCTACAGAGGAAATGGTTGTCGAGCTTACGACTCCAACTGACCTCCCTGTAAATTTATTTTAGGAGCGAGTCTACAGAAGAGATGAATGTCGAGTTATTGACTCCAATTGACCTCCTTGTTGATTTAGTTCAGGAGCGAGTCTACAGAGGAGATGTATGTCGAGTTAACGACTTCAACTGATTTCCCTGTGAATTTAGTTCAGGAGCGAGTATACACAGGAGATGAATGTCGAGTTTATGACTCCAATTGACCTCCCTGTTGATTTAATTCAGGAGCGAGTCTACACAGGAGATGGATGCCGAGTTTACGACTCCAACTGACCTACCTGTAAATTTAGTTCAGGAGCGAGAACTTCTCAACTCCCCACCTCGTAATCCAATAACTGAACCTAAAAAAAAAGATTTGATGGTGCAGCCAGGAAACGACTGAGTCTTCTCTTCGAGAACGGGGTACCTTATAAAACCGCCTTGCACCAAATTCTTGAGCGGCGTACGCAGAATCTGTTTCAGGTGGAGGAACAAACCCCCCATGAGCAAGTTAGCAAACGTTTGCGCTTAAGTGATTCACCAAAACCAGAAACCAAAACCAAATTCATCAAAAGCCCTGCACGGTTGAATCTACGTCATCGTTAGGTTGTCACGGGTATTAAGGGGTGGGAACCTTGACTATCCGACTACCTCATCAACGATGAAACAGCAGAGCATATATTTTGTGCCTGCCCCGCCGGGGACCGAATCAGGTTTTTAGAGTTCGGTAGAGCCGTACTTCTACCATCTGACCTGAAAGACCACTCACCATACGAACTAATCGGCTTCGTTAAGAAGCTGGGTTCATTTGGTCGAGTGTGAATAGGTGTGAGCCATAATAATCCATTGCGGGTTGCGGTGGAGGGACGAGTAGACCCACTCACGAGTAGACCTAACCTAACCTAATCCTCAGCTCGCACACACAAGTTTCGACTCCTGAGAGTTGTCGTTCGTATGGGGGCGACAGGTGGTTAACGGAAACACAGATTTCAACAGAATTCGATATTTTTTCAATTACTTCACGTTTTAAAACGACAGTGTTATTCGGATTCTTCTAGACCTGAATACTGTATAACAGATGCACTTATTTTTTATGTTCATTTTGTTTACAATTGTAAGGAACTGAACCCATTGTATTAGTCATGAGAGAAGCAATTATAGCAATCAACAAAAGAAAACAAGGGAATGAAACGCGGAGAAACGTTCAGCTGATGTTATCTTACATTGAGGTTCCGCATTTCTACGCCGTCTTAGTATATGCAGGCAAGCATATACCGCGTGTCACCATAGAATTCATGAAAAACATCTTCATCTGATGCACTCCAAGGCACTGACCAAATTATTTGTCTGACGTTGGTTGAATTGTTCAAATATT